GAATCTGTATGTCACAACTTCCGAAACGATGTAAGGCGTGAGAGGGGGACCATCTGTTGCTCTGTGCTGTAATAGAGTGCGTGAGAGTGAGCGAGTCTGTGACAAGACAAATCCAGCCAATACAGGTCGGATGACCCCGAATATTTCCTTCCCCTCCCCCTTCATCCGGAGAAAATCTTTATCAAATTCCATCAGTTCGGGGGGAGGCTAGGCAGGGAAAATAGAAGTCTGGAAGATTTTCTCGGAGACGCCGATGGAGGGTGGTGGTGGTGACCTGGAACAATAGTTACTGCAAGAAAACAAACGACGCATGGCAAAACATGGCGATGCCTTCATAGTTGCTAATAGTTTGGACGAGAAGAGTAGATGATAGACCTGCAGAGACGACTGCACGATGATCTGGATCCGATCGTCTTGAACAATTGACGAAGTTTATTGTTCCCCCCTTCCCACGCCACTGGGAATTGAGGACACACTACTAGTAGTAACTCTTACCAGTTACCAGGGCCTTCGATTCGCCAAGCGCTTTACATCGAGCACAGAGTGATCAACCTAGATCGCCCAATCGCAGCAACGTTGTATCCGATCGAACAATAGTTCCGAGGGCAAGGTTTTGGGATGGATGGCAGGCGAACAATACTAGTAAACCCATAGTCTTGGATGGTTAACTTTAGCTTCTTGAGTGTGACCCCATCCATTCCCACCGCTTAGTATGACAGCGGGACGGTACCGGCGTGGTGAGCTGACAAGCACTTTACTCTGTCTGGCTTAGGGAAACAGGTAACCCCTCATAAAAGGCACTGGTACTTTCCGTTGGTCACGTATCATTTGGAATCTTCCGACCTTCCCCGGATGATCGTGACCAAAGTCATCGTAGAAAGGACAATATACGGGGCTTTTTTAATTTATGTACGCACTCCATAGCTGCAGAGCAGGGTGAGGCTAGTACCTGGCTGGGAGGGCCATGCTCAAGGCGGACAGCCAATGACGAGGCAGAAGGCCACTCTGCCACATTGATGGGCAATTCCGAAAAGGGGGAACCTGAGGATTCCATGAGATCTATCATACTTCTGTTGCATTGCCTACAATGGCGAGTCTCGTCGCGGATCCCTCACCCGGATAGAACCCTGCAGGTCAACGTGAGTCAGGAACTTGTATACTGAGTGCTGGTTGGATGAACCCGAGAAATCTACTTACGTAGTAACCCATTTTTTCTCCCATCCATTTCCCCTTCTGATTACTCTATACGGAGAATGAAGATGTGGTTCAGCGTTGCGTCCCAATTGAGCGAATAGTAGTAATCCACTGCTTAGTGGTTGTAGTAAAAGTAGTAGTACCTATCTGAGCCAACTGCACGGGCATCCACTGCGTTGTTCTGAGCCAATCGACTTCAAGTCCTTTATCTTCGTACCTGATCGACTTCGGGATGCAGAAAAAAAACGACAATGAACCGAGGTGACGGGACAGCGGTCCCGTGTCTCTGGTGCAGAGGGATTCAGATCGAGTGGGCTAGTAAGTACGTAGTTAGCATCTGTGTGTAAGAAAACGATGGAAAGCGAGAAAAGATATCCGAGGCAATATACCGTAATGATTGGTCACCTCAAGGAATTATGACCAAGATGACTAACAACTCGGTGGTGAGAACGAGTCCGATCTTTGGTAATCTCTGGTAAGTGCGCTTGCCTTATGCCTGGCAGCCGGTAGCACCGGCGCGAAGGTACTCCGGCCCAGATTCGAGATTGCGTACGATCCCCATGTCGATCCCAACCCTACCGGGTATGAGACAAAGCCAAAAGATTCCAAATCTTCAAAGGGCGCTAGCCGCTCTGCACCAATCACTGCCCCCACTCAAACGGTTCATGTTCTGGGTAACGGCCCACGGGGAGTGGAGGAGGGATCAAGCCTGCGTCCGGTGCAGATGAGGGTTAGCGGCGGCCAATGGGCGCCACCAGCCAAGGGTGAGGCCAAAAGTAGGAGGGTTACAAATTCCTCCTACTACTGAGGGCCAACTACGTATTGTAGTAGAATCTAGTACTTTACTCGAGGGCAAAAAGTGGGAGAAAAAAAAAGAGTGTTCATGGCTGGCTGATGGACATGGTCTCGAATGAAATTACTGCAAGCAATAGTAAATATAGTGGTGTGTTGGGGGAGGAAGAATAAAATTTACCCAGTATTTGGTAGCTGTGAACAATGCGCAAACAAGAATTGTCATCTCAATAATAATAATCATAGATGAAGTGCAATGTATACCTAGAGTGGACAAGCCCATGACTCGATCCTTTGCCTACAATGGCCCTTTTTGCCTATCAACTTGCCTGGGGGAGAAGGAGGAGAAGGAAGAAGGAGGGGGGGGGGGGGGGGGTTGTGCGGGCGCCTGTCCACGATCTCGGTACACCTTAACGCCATTATGCAACCACTCGGGGGTGCTCTTTGTCATTTTCCCGCATCTTGCTCAAATCGGTAATCTACTTCCCTGTCCCCTGCTCTCTGTATCTTCTTTTCCCTCCTTCCTCTGCCCTCCATCAGAATTTCTAATTCCGAGGTTGCCCGCCCCGCCTGACTGACCCATGGAAACCCATCCGGTCAGTATGACCACTCCTATCCTCATTCGCCTACCTCCCAGACCGTTTCTGCCGCTCCCGTTTTCCTGTCAGGGCCTGAACTTTGACGAGCATGGGCCAGTCCATACGTACCCATACTTACCTAGTACGTAGTAGCAGTCGAAACTGGATCTGGTGGATAGATCGCCCATGGTCTGCAGTCTGCCATAAGAAGCGGAAAAGGGCCGTGAACTAACCAACTAGGCTTGGGATCTTCCCGTTTAGTCGACGCCCGACTGATCGGTACCGTAGACTTGCTCGCACTTTTTCTCCCTCTTGTGTTTTGAAAAGCATCCACAAATTTTTAATTAATTCTCCCTGTCGTGCTGCTATTATTGTACCGTTTCATCGCGCCTATCTGTCGGATCAGCTGGGCTGATGCGGAAAGTTGGAATTTCTCATCCATCTATTCCATTACTATTCTTTCCGGTCAAGGCAATTAGTCTCTATCGAGAGGGTTTTGTCACCAACAGGATTAAACTATCAACGATGGATGGGTAGATCAACCGCCCAGGATGTGATGTCCGAGAAACGCCGTAGTAAAAAAAAATCACATTCTGGATAGCATGCTTGCTAGATGCCCTGTGTGGCACACCGTAAGAAGATGGCACTCGTGTCAACCAGGGTAGCCTTGCCACAGATACGATTCATGGAATGGGTTCCCCTGGACGTCTCAGCCTGCTTCTTGTCTCTTACACAATGTTCTTCGATACCGCAGTTCCTTGACAAAAGAGAGGAACGGGGGCAAATTAGTTGCAGGAAAAAGGATCAAGTCGACTGTAGAGTATCCATCTCTATGCCTCACCACGCCAGTAAGAATAGTATCATCCATGATCCCTGCTGCAACACCGATCCTCTGGTAAGTAATCAGTCACTACTAGGTTAGCACCTATAGTAGGTATTGGATAGTGGCAAATCCTCTCCCCACGATCTGGAAACGCCAGCTTCTGAGACTGCTGCAACTGATCCTGATAGCTGCCCTGTTTCCTTTTTTCCAGCCCCTCCGTTGGTCGTGTGGTTGCTTTGCAATTCTTTCCTTCTCTTCCACCCCCCTGTCAATTGATGGGTCTGAATTACCCAAAAGAGATACTGCAAGAAGTTGTCCGTCAACCTCACATTTCCCCACTTTGACCTCCAAAGATCGGTTATAGTCCAGACACATTGAATTAATTTTTATTTCTTATTTTCTTTTTTGTCATCATATAGCCCGCACCCGCAGTGCCTCCCATATAGTTACAGCCTGGGGCGTCAAAAGGGCAGTAGTAGTAGAGCTATGGATGGAGGTCAATCTAAATTAATCAAATGGACTAGCCTAGTAGGTCTGTGCCCCTAGGCTAGCTCTGCCTCCTTGAGGAAGGCTACCTGAGGTGGTACCTGCCTAATACCTAGCTTCCCCCCTACTAAGGACTACCTGTTACTACTACCAGTGACTAGTGTAATTTACACGCATACTGCGGTACTAAAAGTAAACTATACGGAGAATACCATACATACCGAGCGGGTACTGACTGGGGCGTCAGGAAAATAAAAAATAAAAAAAAAAGAGGAGGGGGGGTCAGAAAATCGAAAATCAGAAAATCAATTTAGGAAAAAATAAAATCATCACAACACAAAAAATTAAAAAATCCAATTCCAAAAAAAATCAATAATATTTGGCATTTATTATTATTAAATTTATTCCTCCGACACAACTGTCAGCTCCGAGATCTTGGATCAGATCTTCTCCTATAGCGTGCTCTAAGTGTGGAGCAGTAGCCATTTTTCTCTGACCCGTCTCCCTGGTCATTGTATTCTGCTGCTGCTGCTTGTTGTTATAATAGATGATCGTAACCTTCATCTCCATCACTCCTTGACACGACTATTGTCTATCGCCCTTTCTCTAATTCCAATTCCCCCTTCCGGGTCTCACCTCTCTTCCTATATATCTACCACCTCGACGACGCACCTTTGAACCTTATTCTTTCTCCATCATCAAACAAACTCTCACTCCCCAACTTCCCACTCTTACTTCCTACATAACCCAACAGCTCGGTTGCGTGGTCATTGCTCCTCCCTCCTTGCTTGTCTATCTACCCTACTCTCGTCCCTTATCCATCACCCGCGTGTGTCTATTACAACACTTGTGTGTGTGTGTGTCTGGTCTAGTCCGCTCCGGGTACACTAAACCTCCCACACAGCCAACCCCACGGTAAGAAGCCCTGTTCCCTTTAAAGACGTCAACCCTCCCCGCCCACGCATAGTACCTGAACTTTGTCGGCGCCCCCCTTCGACTGTCCCCAACTCTCTTTAAAAACTCTCCGACCTCCTGGCTGGAGTCTAACATTACATCCTTAGATTTACAACTCCCCAAATTCTTTCCATCAATCACTCGGATTAATTCTTCCTTGTCAACTACTTGCAATGGCTCCCACTCATCGTCGTGGACCCTGGGTTCCCGAAGAGGACCAGTTGCTCCTTCAGTTGGTTCGCGAACAAGGCCCCAACAACTGGGTCCGCATCTCTCAGCACATGCACTACCGCTCGCCCAAGCAATGCCGGGAGCGCTTCCACCAGAACCTCAAGCCCTCTTTGAACCGTGAGCCCATCTCTGCTGAGGAGGGCTTGATGATCGAGCGGATGGTCAACGAAATGGGCAAGCGCTGGGCCGAGATTGCACGACGCCTTGGAAACCGCAGCGACAATGCAGTTAAGAACTGGTGGAACGGCAGCATGAACCGCAAGAGAAGAGGTCTCCCTACCTCCAGCTCGCCTCACGCCGGACGCACGATGCACGGACGGGTCGAGGCCCCATATGCGCGGGCCTCTCTGGGCTTGAGCAGCCCCATCAGCCGTTCTCGCTACTCTTCCATCTCCAACGACCGACCTCTCACTTCCTGGACCAAGTCTCCTTCATCTCGGAGGGATTCCTTCTCCGCCTCTTCCATCGACTGCCCCCGCCAGTTGACCCCGATCTACACACTTCCTGCTCTCAACCGCCCTGTCGAAACTCCTCTCACCTCGCCTGCCTTCTCGGAAGCTTCTTCCATGGAACCTCCCTCCATGATCTCGGACCACAACTCCGTCTCTTCCTCCTCTCCCAGGACCATCGCCTCGCCACAGCTTCTTCCCCTTCCGGTGGACATGAGACAGCAATACGGCGACTTCCGCAGGCAGAGCACTTCGGATGAGATCTATGCCTACCACGATCTCTCGTTGAAGCAACGGTGGATCTCCGATCACCAGCAATGGAACCAGCACTCTCCGCTATCTCCCACATGGTCTGCTCCGATCGAAGACAAGACAGAAGCCCCGCGCGACTCGCGGATGGGTCTTCAGAACTTGCTCAACTAAACGACGATAGCGACCATTGCTGGATATGATCAACGAACTTTTCTTCTGTCATCGATTTTCTATGGGAAATTTTATGTACATGACCTCCCGACCCTCGTCACTCCTTTGTTTGGCATAATTTCCTTTGTACTTATATCATCACCTCATGTATATTGTCTTTTTGGATGGTTCGGCTCGGCTATTTCCACTGCGGGTCACGTGGATACGGCCCGGTTTCCTTACGGTACCAAAAAAAGCATTCGGGATCTCCTTTTGTCATAGTTATTGTGTTCCCTTCCCTTATTTTCTTTGTCGCTCATCATTTGGCTTACTGGGTATGGGGTTAATCATTGTGTATAGAGGAGATTGAGGAGTGCTGTCCATTGTTTTGCATGTATATGGTTGGGTTTTGGAGACTTTTGGAAAGTACTGTGAGCTTGGATCTAATAATACCCCATGACTGTTGGTTGTTACATTGCGCTATCGACCAGATGATCGTTTAATGATACATTAATAATATTTCCCACTCAAATAACTCCTCTCTTCTGTTCCTTAAGTCGTAAATTCCGATTACCGTTTCTTTGACTAAATTTTCTCTCGACACGGCCAACCTCCACCCACCCATTCTGGATGGGGGATGTTATTTCCGGATCTGGCAGGCTTATTTTTTTGGGCGCCAGCCAGGCTTGACCGTTGCGCCCATGGACGAGCCCAGGAGGATGATAGGGGGCGAGGATCCACTGGAACAACGCCGCATATCCTCCGTGACTGTGGCTGGCTGTCATCAGCTCCTGTCTTCCCGTGAAAGCCGCGGAATCTGAGGTTCAGAACGCAAGGGGCGACCCAAAGTTACGAGGCGAGACTGCATGGGAGAGACACGAGCAGGTTCAAGGAGAGAAGGCAGCGTGACAGCGCCATTACTGGGTTTGAAGAGACCGAGAAAACCCGGGATTTCAGAAATTATGAAAATGAAAAAGGCCTAAAATGGAATATGGGTCATTGGAAAAGAAAAGAAGAATGATTTCCGAATTCACATTGAAGGGAGTGGAAACTACCACCACATACTACATACACACATACATACATACATACATACATACATACAAGGTTGGCTGAACAGAGACACAGCAGCAGCAACACCGGACAGCATCCACCAACCGTCGTTGGCGCATGGCCGACCATCTCCACGGGAAAGGTGAAATGGATAGGTCCATTAGGAATACAGCTGACGACTGTCTGATCCAATCCTTCCACTTGGAGTTTCGGGATTGGCATGGCGAATGAATGGGGGGTGGATAATGGAAGTCGTGATGGTTCATGCATAACGGCCAATGTCAATGGAAGTGCTCTCAATGGCCGGAAGGCTTTACCCTTTCTCCCCCCTCCACTACCAGCACCAGCACCATCACCTCCTCCTCTCACTGAAGTACTACGTTAACTTGGCCCCAGTTGGGAGGTAAGGTTGATAGCCAGACAAAGTTTATCCCAGGGACTTGGTGGATTCCGATTTGACTGGGTTGATTCGCCAGCACCCCTCCCTTTCCTTTTCTACCCTCCCTTTCTTTACTCGTTTACGCACATGTCGCTAACGGTCTCGAAGCAGGGCTGTCCCGTTTTGTATTTTTGATTTTTGTTTTGATACATTTATTTATTTACTTTTATTTTTATTGTGTTGTTTTTACCTTTGCGCAAGCATTCAGCCTGGAGAAGGTAAGTAAGCTTGTTGGAAATTGAACAACCGCCTGTCTCATTTGGGACCCATCCGCGGTACGAGAGAGTTATGGGGGATGGGGAATCCGACGGGCTTCATTCTCCCCAATGGCTTTCTTGTCATGTCAGCAATCGAGCGGTCCCCGAAGAAGCGGGCTTCAAAGCAGCCTATAGTAGAGAACAGGCAGAAGGAAAGCAGAAAAAAAAAGAAAAGAAAAGAAAAGACAAAAGTGAAAAAGAAAAAAAGAAAAAATTAAGGGAAGCGCAAAAGGACGAACGATAAGGACGATGGAGCAGCCTTTCCTATTTTCCCCTCCATTCCCGCCACCATTTTCCTCGAGATGTGTGCCACTACGACCTTCCTGGTCTGGACTTGGGTGTCCAACTCACTAGTGGCTTTTTGGGCTATCCCAATCGTGACGTGCTGTTCGGAGACATGGCTTCTCCTTCCCAACCTGACTCGCCACACTCGCAACGGATACCAAGCCACACCCAGTGAAGGGGACGGTGCTGCACGTATGCCGATCAGGCAATCACCATGACTGATCAAGAATGAAGGCATCGGCGGGGTCACCGAACGCAGGAGCTGTAATCCACTCTGTGTGGTGTATTATGTATGCACTGGCACTCATGGAGTGTCTCCAGTGCTCGACGCACTGCATACCCACGACTGGTGGTCTGTTTCAGCCAATCTAACATCTCACACGCACCACTGTTGCGCTGCCATGCGTGCATGAGCATACCAGCTCCTGCTCGCCTACCGGTAGGCGGTGCAGATTCAGCTGGGGTCAAGGTTGGGTGGAGTCAAGTTCAAGGGTGAGGAAAGGATGATGCAGCTCGTCCTGGAGGACGTTGGCTCGCCAGTGACCCTCTCTGACGGCCGTTGGCCGGTAGGGGACATCCTACGCTTCGTATCAAGTACGCATGACTATGTAGATATCTCTCAGACGCATGGGTTACACATCAGTACATACTCATACCCATACACACCTACCAGGTTGGGCATATTCTGACACAAGGCTCCGGGGGTTACACAGGACCAAATTTGGGACTTTCTTGTGACGTTGAATCGCTTACCAAGTTCCAGAACAAATATAGCATGAAACAAGACATTCTACATCCGTGCCAGTCGCACCATGGGGAAACCCAATACTCCAGTGAACTAAAGGAGTTCGACAATACGGAGTAGACGACAATGCCAACACCAAAACCAACAATGGCCTAGTGAGGAAACGAAGAAGAAGCAGCAGCAGCAGAAACCAGTCACCGTCGGCGCAATGGATCTGGAGCCCTGCCGGCCAAGAGATTCTCGCATTAATTAACTACCGCTGATCTTTTTTTACATCTGATTTGGAATTCTGGTTGTTAGCGCCCCGCTAATCCACTTCCGTCCACTCGCGACATGCACACCGTGACGTACCCTCAGTTCCATCCCCGATCATGCATCCTGATTTGACAGACGGACTAATTAGGAGATTTACGCCCTTCGCATTATGGGGGCGTGTGGTGAACGACAACCGATCTGTGTTCATCTCGTTACCACTCATCCAAGTTTTTCCCCTACCTCCTGTTCTGGCTCGAGCATGTTCCGCTTTTCCGATCCATTGGTCAAGGATGAAGGGCTTGGCAGTGGAGCCCTGGGCGACCGTTACACAATCTCCACGATGGCATATTATTCTGGTGGAAGCATCGAATGAGGTTCCAGCATCCGAACCTGCTGCGGATGCTGCAGATAGAGCAACTAAAGTTCCAACAGCGCATCCATGGATCCCCCTCTGACCACGACCCAAGATACGGGGTACGTCAGTTTGCCAAGCAGGCAGACGAGCCCAGTCAAGCGATCGTCAATATTAACAATTAATGCTCGAAATTGATTAAGCCCCAGGCACACACGCACAACGCTCAGTCAAATGTATGGATGCATTTAAAATTGATTATGGTTAATTTGTATTATATTGCATTCTCTAACTACTACTGCCGCCGGGTATAGCATCCTGACAGCTGAAACAATCCACCTCCAACATTACAATTTAGTGAAGCAATCTACAAAGCTCTGTCAGGTTTATTTTTAAAGCTGTCTCGTCTATCCCCATCTCCATCACCAACCCCCTGCCGACTCTATCGACCATATGGTCGCATGCCCAACAGAACCGATGCGGTTGTTTCGGGGACCTTAATATACGACTGTGGGGATTAGTGCGTTCAGCCAAAGAGAGAAAACAGAGAATGATGTTGAACCATTGGTGCGCCTCTTCATTCATCCCACACCCCCTGTCTTCTGCCCAAATGATGCGACATTAGTATCCGATATTATTAGTATTATTCTGTTACTTCCCCCCATAGATCTTATTTTGTACTAGTGGTGTGGATGTGTAGCTGAAGCGTTGAGGTGCGAAATTCCCTTTTTTCCCTTCTACCAGAACCAACCTACGGAGGAGCTTGACTAGCTATTCTCAGATTTACGGTTTGATTTTCCCTTCTTCCCGCACCCGGTTTGATCGTCAGCTATGCAGATTTATGCATGGATGGGGGAGCTCTATTGTTCCAAATAGATTGTTTATAACAGCTTTCTTTCTCTCCTTCTCCGCCTCCTCATCCAGCTCCAAATATTGCCACTCCAATAGTCGCTGGGTGCTGCGCCCTCCTAACTATCATCCCCCGGAATGCCTCAGGGGGCGGCGCAGACACCATTCAGCTGAGCTCGTATGATCCCCATACACCATACACTCAACAACCCTATCCCATAACAGACGTTTGTTATTACCATTAACGCCCAACATCCATCTACTTCCGATACCTGACTAGAAGGGGGGAAGATGGGGGCGAAAACAGAAACCAGAGCCAGAAACAACCCCCAAACTAAATTCAAATGAAAATTAAAATAAAATAAAATCTACGATACTGCTATCTCCAAAAAACCACCCCCCGATCTGATCGAATCAAATCAACCCTAGCCGATTTCCTTAAACGGAAAAAGCTCAACATCACTACTAACCCGCCCGCTCCGCCCGCCCAACGATTTGATTGATTTTCCCCGATCCATCCCATCCCATCCCATCATCATCCATGGATCCATCCATCCATCCATCCATATCCATCCCACCCACACTTTGGTTTGATCTCCAACCTCCCACCGGCCCAATCCCTCTCGTCAAGATTCTAGTCGCTTCTCCGTAATCATCTACTTCCGACCACTCACAACCTCTAGGTAATCCCCCCCTCAGCAGCCCGTGAGTAGTGATCTTCCCGCGGTCCCTGCGAGGAAGACTCACTTACTGACTAACTTACCGCCGGTCGGCGCGGTTAAAAAA